GAAACCAGCGAATATCAAAAGAAACTCTTATAAATGCACTGTTAAAGTTTTTGTTTTAATTTGAAGATTTTAGATTGTGTAACTAAATTTAGGCATACAGTTTTCACTATAAAATTTCAGATAATTTTGTGTATAGTGCCTTAATTTATATTTAACTGTTAATATGTTAAAATCATTAACCCAATGACTTGAGATCAAGAACCTACAAGAACTTCTCTGACGAAACTTTTGAACATGTTTTGCTTCAAATAGTAAACTGAAACTTGTCTATTAAAACCGCTTCAGAAAGATTCAAAATTCCGTATGGTACTTTATATAATAAATACAAAGGGAAGCATGGGAAGAAATCAGGGACCAAACTGCGTTGTCGACGCTAGAGGAAAAATCAATCGTGTTCTACATTGTCAATTGTGCCGATTGGGGATTTTCCATTATCGATATTAGATGTACAACTTTTTACTAAGAGTAATTTAGAAAGAAGTGGAAGAATTATTTCTAAATTTAAAAACGGCGTAAGTCCTGGTAACGACTGGGTAACCCGTTTTTTAGAGGGCATAGTCAGCAAATCTCTGAACGACTTGCTTCTAACATTACTAGAGCTCGGGCAGGTGTCACAAAAAAAAACGATAGAATCATATTTGAGTAATTTAAAAATGACTCTCTCAAACTGCCCTCCATCGCACGTTTTCAATTACGATTAAACCAACGTTAGTGATGATGCGGGTAAAAGAAGATTGCTATGTAGAAGAGGGACCAAATACGCAGAGTAAATCGCTAATCATAGTAAAGCCACTACATCAATAATGATGTGCAGTGCTGCTGATGGCACACTACTCCCTCCAAATATATATGGCAGCGAACATATGTGGCATGCGTGGACATTAGGATGTCCACAGGACTCTCCTTGTTGTAGTAGTGGATGTTACGGAATAGGAGCTAAATATAACCGAACAAAAATGTATGAATGGAGGTAACTTGTTTTACAGACTGGTTTGAGACCATATTATTACCACACGCAAGACGGCTGAAAGGTAAAAAAGTTATGATCGATGACAACTTGGCATCTCACTTTTCAGATCATGTATTACAACTGTGTGTGAATTGCACAATATTGAATTTGCGTGCCTTCCCAGTAATTAAACACACATATGCCAGCCTTTGGATGTAGCCTTTTGTAGGCATACATGAAAATTTCTTGGTGAAAGATTTTGTCGGAATTTAAATTGCGCCACCCAAAGATTACTGATATACCTAAAGATCAATTTCCGTCGTTATTAAAAAAATGCTTGGAATTATTGGATTAAATGCAAAAACCGACCACAAAAGTAGAGACTGTGAAGAAAGTGCAATTAAGAGAGTGCTGAAGAATGGGTTCGAAGCGTGTGGCATGGTTCCTTTCAATCCAAATAAAGTCTTGAGTACAATTGCACCAATCAACCATGATGTTGATTATGTAGAACCTCTGATTAACGACAGCCTCACAGACTATTTGATGAATAGGAAGTCCAAGATAGAAGTTACTAAACGTAGAAGTTTAAAAAAAAACCCCGCCCAGTAAAGGTGTAAGTCGACATGTAACGGCGGATGACAGCTCCTCCGATAGCGAAATAAACAGCTATACCAGTGAAAGCGAAAATGAAATTGAAAATAAAGATTCTGTGGAGAACCAATCATATAAAGATGAGATGAATATAAAAACCATCTCTTGCTGAATTGAATGTTGGGACTTATGTGCTTGTAAAAATTATCTCAGGTAAACGAAAATGTATAAATTACGTATATGCCAGAAGGATACAAGAGAAATTACCTTTTGACGAATACGTCAACTCATTTTACTTAAATCACTGGATGAAACCCATAAACATTTTAAAGTTGTGGAGACCGACGAATTTATTGCTCCTTTCGCTGATATCTTAGCAATTCTGAAGACCCCCATCGGTTGAAACAAATGAAACAGGAACGAAATGCATATTTCCTGGCAAAGTTGATGTTAAAGAAAAATAATTTATTTTTTTTGCCTTTCATACTATATTCTTTAGACTTTTCTTTCTTCTTCTTCATGTGCCTTGTCTGTTCCGAACGTTTGCAATCAACATGGCTATTCTGACTTTGTTTACGGCAGATCTGAATAATTCAGCAGATGACAATCCGAACCATTGCCGCAAGTTTTGGAGCCACGAGTGTCTTCTCCTCCCTGGACCCCTTCTGCTGTCTATTTTCCCTTGAACGATCAGCTGTATACTCTATATTTATTATGTCTCATAACGTGACCCAAGTATTTCAACTTTCTTTTATTTATACTTATTCCTACCTCTCTCTCTTTACCTATCCGGCGTAGTACCGCTTCGTTGGTCACGTGCTCAGTCCAGGATATAAGTAATATACGTCGGTAAGCCCACATTTCGAAGACCTCTACTTTTTTCATCAATTTTGCGGTCATTGTCCACGCCTCCATTACATATAACAAAACCGGGAATACATAACATTTCAGAAGTCGAATTTTGAGAGGTAGAGTGAGGATTTTAGAGGTGAAAATTTGCTTCATGCTAGTGAACGATGCTCTTGCCTTTTCTACTCTTATACGTATTTCCTTCGCTTGATCCCAATTTGACTTAACTGTTGTTCCCAAGTAGATGTACGAATCCACGTGTTCAATTCTTTCATTGTCTAATATCAGTTGCTGTGGTGGTTGTTGGGTTTTGCTTACTAACATCCATTTGAGTTTTGTGATATTTAGTCTGAGTCCGTATTGTGCACTTGTTTTTTGTATCTTACTCATTAGACAACTCAGTTCCTCCATGCTACTTGCTAGAATCACAGTGTCATCAGCATATCTTGTGTTATTAATTATTTCTCCATTTATCTTTATGCCTTCTGTGCTTTCCTCCAGCGCTGTCTTAAATACTTCTTCTGAGTATATATTAAAGAGAATTGGAGACAAGATACAGCCCTCTCGTACCCCTTTCTTGATCTCAATTTTATTGGTCAATGTAGATCCTACTTTCACTTTAGCTGTTTGACCCCAATAGAGACTCGCTATTGTTCGAATGTCTCTGTAGTCGACTCCGATCTTATGGAGAATTTCAATTATCTTTTCGTGCTTTACGTTATCGAATGCTTTTGCGTAGTCTATAAAGCAAATGTACACGTCTTTGTTCATATCTCTGCAGCACTGGATAAGTACCTGTAGACTAAAGAGTGCTTCTCTTTAGGGCAACAAAAGTTGACTCTAGCCAGTCGACAGACTGCCAGACGAGTCTAGAAATTGACTGTTTCGAACAGCATTTTCAATACTTCCCCGTATATGTTATCGTTGCCTGGTCTTTTGTTATTTTTAAGACCCTTTATAGCATTCTCCACTTCTGATTTTAGAATAGAAGGGCCAGTATCATCATTACTCAGTGTAGACCCACTAGGACGGTCATCATTAAACAGTTGTTGCACATAAGTTTACCAGATTCTAACTATTTTGTCGGGGTCTAGTTGTAGATTTCCATTCTCATCGCACAGCCCTTTCGATAAAATATTGTAGCTTTTCTTTGTTGTGAGTTTCTTTATCTTCTTATGCATATTGTGATAGTCGTATACCTTTTCGCACCGTTCGATTTCTTCGCATCTCTCCGAGAACCATTTCTCTTTAGTTTTTCTTATCTTGGCTCTTATTCGTCTATGGGTTTCACGGTATTTGGCAGTATCTCTAGTTTTATAAATCCGTCTCTCTTCCATTATGTCAAGGATTTCTGCAATCATCCAGTCTTTCTTTTTTCTCTTAACAGGTAGTAAAAACTTAGCGCTTGAAGTCCTAATATCTTCTTTAATTTTACTCCACTTTTCCAGCGGTTCATTGTTATTTTTAAGGATTTTTGATATTTCGGTATTTAAATTCTCCTGCATCTGTATTTAATATTATTGTTGGAAAGCTTCCTAATATCTAGCGTTTCGGGCCTGTTCTTTACATTTGGCTTTTTTAACTTTACTTCAAACTTACATACCACCGACTTTTCTTTACTATTTTATATGTTTTTACTAGTTTGCTAAAATGTTTTTTACCTCAATAAAGTATTAGTACCTCTAGAATCATTTATTATATACTGATTATTGTATCTGTAGCAGCTATCCAAAGTTTAAAATTAAAATTGAAATATCTAAAAATTGGCTTGATCGATTAAAAAATTGGTTGACATTGATATTACTACAACTTTTATGCATCGGCTAAGCTATTTCAAAATGGTTTATCAAACTGACTCCACATCAATGGGTGACTTCAATATACATTTTTTATTTATTTGTTTTTTAAGATGCTCAATTTGAAAACATATATACTATCAATTTAAATTAAATAAACATAAAATGCATCCCAATGGTGACTTTTCCACATTTTTGGGATGACCCATTCAAAAGTTATGCTAGAAAATACGGAAAAAATTAACAAAGTCACCCCGTTCTACGGTATTTTGAACATGGCGGATTCTCACAGAAATTTGGATCGCGAAAAAGCTCTTCGTTTCGCTTTTTGTTGTGTAGTGTATTCTGTGCTTTAACTCAAAATTTACCTTTAATATAGCAACCTAACACTACACGTAACTTCGAATTTCAAGTATACTCATATGCGAGAAGAAAAATATTTTGTGAAGATGTGAAGATGAGAAGAACTCAGATCTACCTTAGTTTTTTTAACCTAGTCTTTGTATACAACCCTTGGTTCTGTTATGTCAAGGGTCAATAATTTCCATGGTTCTTTTCTAACAAAATAAGACTAACGTCTTATTATAATAATATATTTTTGTGCGGCTTATTTCGCAGATAAAATTTACTAGCTATACATCGACACCTACAAGAATACAATATATTTTTGTATAAAGAAAAAAGTAAAAAGCATTTCCCACGTTGTCAATTAACCACTAATCCACAATTAAATGTACCATTGAAGCCCGCCCATCATGCAAGCTTACCCTACGCTTGCAACATAACTGTATATCGGCGTTTACTTGGTCACCAATAACTACCGGATTATGAAATAGCGGTTTACTATTTAAAAAATATAACGTTTCCTAATTATGAACAACTAAGGTCGCTTGTGAACTATATAAGCTGGGGTTGATACCGAAACTTTATCTTGTGGTCTAACAACACCGAACAAACCAACATGAACACTCTGGTAAGAATATTACATCAGAATTTACACGATTTTAAAAAATCTTTTGCCTCTGGCTGTCTGTTTCTAGTGTTAAACGATCTTATGCTATTGTTTTCGTTGGGTGTGTCATTTTTGTATTTTTTCTGAAACAAGGATATGTGTTTGCAAAATAATATGTTTCCTCGGTTTGTTATTTCATTGTAGAATATCACGTGAAGTACATATATTTTCAAAATTTCAAACGTTTGCTCTTCGTCGAATATATATAAATTGTTATTGTATTTCTTTATTGATTTACTTATATATTATTTTTGTTCATTTTTTATTTTTATAGTTTCTAGTATTGAATAATTTATTCCAAATATCTTTATCGATATATGTATCCAAATCATTATGAAATTATGAGATTATTTTCCGATTTGGACTTTCTTTTACATTTTTATTGCTGTAAAAGATCCCTTTTTTTATTTTACTAATTTCAAAAACAATTCAAGATATACATATTGTATTGTTTTTCTTCGATATTGCTCAATATATTGTTGAAATAGTCTTTTTCTTCTACGTTTTTTCTACATTTTTCTTAAGTCTTATAATGTCTTTTACTATTCTGGAAAATTTCATTTCGCTACTTATGTTCCTGTAGTTAGCTATATACGTCAGTATCTATCTTCCACAACTATATAACAGAGGATCTGGAGCCATTTTGTTGTAAAGTGTTATTATGGTATCATTTATTGTCTTGTTTTTTAATGTCTGAATTATTATGTAGTCAATTACCGATCTTCATCCTCGAGTACGCCGTATGTATTTATGAATATAAATAACGTGTTCGTGATTTTCACATGAAGGAGTTGGAATAGTATTAACCTCTTTTAACCAGGATAATCAATCACAGGATAACCTGTGTTTCGTCTTTTATTATAACTGCTCTTTTCTTTGTTATTCTATTAGTGTATTTCGTATATTCTTTCGTTTTATTTTCTTAAAATTTTAGTTTTATTTGTGTCTGAGTATCACCGTATCCTATTAGTATATTTCATTATCATTTCGTTTTTAATCTTAATTTTATTTATTCTTATGATATTATTTAACTCTCTGTTTTCTATAACAATATATGTATGTTAAATTCCTTGGAATTAATATTGGACTAACGTAAAATCTACATTCGGTTATGAAAATAAACTACATTCGTGGAATATCACCTTTTATTCTTCTATCAGATGCATCATATGCAAAGCCTTATATCTTTATTTTCCTTGTTATCATACTTTTTTGAACGCCTTTTCTGAGTCTGTGAAAGGTAGATGGGCTGTCTTGTTATAATATATTGATTTTACAGCTATTACTAGTACTTATCAAGTTTGTTTCTCTGCAATTCTCTGCAATACTCGGGTCATTTTTTGTCTTTCTTTATCATTCAATCTCCGTTTGTCCACTACTGGATATAGATCTTCCTCATCATTTTCCATATGTTTCGATCTTGTGGCTCTTGCTGCATCTAATTCCTATGGCAACTTTGTAAAACGTTAGTCCAACGTGTTAGTGGACGATCTCTGCTTCGGTAGGCATCATCTCTTGTCTTCATTCTAGTATCCGCTTTGTCTATCTGATATCTGCCATTCAATCCATGTGATCTGGCCAGTTCTACTTTAATGTTGCTACACTATTTTAACAACACCGAAAAAACACACTGATTAAAGGTTTCTCTTTTAAGACATATTAGTATGTCACACGATTGGAAAATGAGATTTAACTTGCCCAAGCCAGTCTTCACAATAGAGAAGCTCAACTTTCTTTCTTTCGTTTTATGTAGACACGACTCTGTCTGTTTTCTAATGTGCCTCCAGTAAGTTGTGGTTGCAACGTTTTTGTGGTCTTCCTCCTGATCGTCTTCCTATTGGTGAATCGTCTTTACTACTTTATTTGTTGTCATTCGGCTTATATGATCGATCTATTCTACTTTTCTATTTATTACCCAGTCCTTGATGTTCCACCTTACATCTTCGACGTATATATGTACTTCTAGCTCTGTTCCATAGTGTCTTACCATCAGTTTTTCTAATAGTAATTATCTCTGCTATTTCTAGCATTATTTGTATCATTATTGGTCTGACTAGTGTTTTGTAAATTCTGCCTTTCATTTCTTTTCTGATATTTTTATTTCTCCATACTGTTTCATTCGGGTAACTTTGCGGCTCTGTTTGCTCTATTCCCTTAATCTTCCACTTCTGTTTCGAGCTTTCCGTAGCCATTCTCTTCTCTACTTCACTAGTTCCATTATCTGAGCTTTAAGCTACAATTTACATCTTAGTAAATTTGCTGTTACAACCATGCAATTTGAATTTTTAAGGAAATTAACATAAAAATTATTTTCTGGTAATTATATTAAATTGGTGAAGCATTCGTTGTAAATCATCTTCACATTAACAGTAGTATTGCGTTGTCTGCATAGCTGATTATTTTAAGTTGTTTTCTCCCATTTGGTATCCGTTTTTAGTTCTTACTTTTTTAATTATTTCCCATAAGCAGCTAATCCCTAATCCCATAGACAGCTTTATTTGGGTCAGTTAGTTCTTCGTCTACTTTTACTTTTATAGTGTTGTTTTGTTAGATATTTTCGATCGTTTTGATTATTCCTAGAGGGATCTCCCTTGCGTACAATAAGTATAGAACGTCCTTTAATTTGATCCTGTCAAAGGCCTTCTTAAGGTCCACGAAACATACGAAACATAGATAGGCCGGTTGGTTGTATTCAAATTATTTCTCTTCTACTTGTCTTATTATATATATATATATATATATATATATATATATATATATATATATATATATATAGCGTCGGTACTTTGAGAACCTCTACCATTGTTCCCTTTTTTATTTGTCTGCCTAAAGTATTTATTCTATTTCCAATTCGTTTATAGTGGTTATATGCCTGTTCTGTTTATTGTGTTCTATTGTATTGTAAAATTTGTATTGTATTTTCTGTAGAAGCGTCCCGTGAATTCCATATTTAATTCTTTTGTCTCTGATTTTTGTTTGTACTCTGAGATCTGTACTAGTCAGAAAGTATATTTGTATAAAAAAATGGAAAAAATAAAACAATTTAACTAAAACATTTTATTTATTTCAGTTTGTAGCCATCTTCGCCACTTTGGCTGTAGCCGCCAGTGCTGGAGGAATTGGACCTATTGGACTTGGAGGACTAGGTCTTGGACTTGGAGGACTAGGTCTTGGAGGTAATTTTGGATCTCTTTAAAGTATATCAATTATATCAGTAATGTTTTATTGTCTTCTTCTCTGTCTTTCTATCGCTGTATTCGCCGATAGAGGTTAGCAATGACAAGAGCAAACTCTCAGGACAACTTGTTGCTGCCTAAGGCACATTTTTCTTCTAATTTGTTCTGTTAGTAGTTACTGTTAGTTCCACGAAATATTTGTTGTTTTATAAGAACCAGTGATTTTTATGGATTCACATTGCTTTAACTTCATTTTTCCCAGCAACTTAAGCATTTAAATACTCAGCTAATCGCAATCGAGTGCTTTTCCATTTTTTGCTATTTGAACTTCACTTTCGTATTTTAAAGGTAATATATTTAGGATTTTATCCATTATAATATGAAATAGATGAGGATCAATACGTCTCTCCTGCATTTTTAAAAAACTATTTTGAACATTCCTTTCTCAATTTTTCTCCTCATTTAATCCTAAATATAGCTAAAAATATTAACAGATTATTCTCTATATTTTACTAGGTCACGGAATCGGTTTAGCTGGTCCCGTTGGTCTTGGTCTTGGAGTACCAGCCGTAGGAATCGGTGCTCCTCTTGGTTTAGGACTAGGACTTGGACATGGAATCAGAGTAGCCGCCGTACCCGCTGTCAGAGTAGTTGAAGCTTCTGGAGTAGTCACTGGAGCTGGAGCCGCTGGACCATCTGGCGTCGTTACTGGAGCTGGTGCTGTTGGACCTTCAGGTAAGATATATGTACATACTTTTTTCTAGAGTCGTTCCAAACCATGTTTCCATCTATGAACTATATTTTATTTCTATTGGAATCCTTCCAAACCTATATTTCCTTCTTAGTACTATATTTTATTTCTATTGGAGTTTTCTTCTTGATCAATGTCTTTATTATTTAAATATTAAACTCTTACTAATGATATATCTTGCTGTAGGAATTGTTACTGGTGCCGGAGCTGTAGGACCCACCGGCCCCAACGGCAAAGGAGTCGCCATTGCTGCCCCTCTCGCCATTGCCGCTCCAGCTGTAGCTGTAGCCCCTGCAGCCGTCGGTGTTGTTGGTGCTCCCGCCCTTGGTTTAGGTCTCGGTAGAGTCGGACTTGGTCTTGGACACGGAATCGGTGGCATCGCCGGTATTGGAGGTCTAGGGCTAGGAGTTGGTCACGGAGTCGGACTCGGGCTCGGACTCGGTCACGGAGTTAGAGCTTGGTAATTTGTAGTTGCCGTTTAGGATTTTTAATTGTGATGAAAAACTGCCATGATCTATTTTTGTATTTATTTATTTAGTGTTCAATAAAATAAGTTGCGATATAAGTTACTCTTTTATTTACCTTATCATTTAGCAATAGAACATTTGATGTTAGATATTTAACAAAAGAATGTAAAACTGAAATTAAAAGTCAAGAAGAAGAACAAAGCATATTTCGTACTGTTAATGACGACAATATATTTTGTCTCAAATAAATCACTTAAAAACAGCAATGAACAAAGTAATATGTTTAATATTTGTAGGCTTAAAATTTAAAAACATGAATCATATTCTCATTACAGCTCTACAAAATATCAAATAAAAATAGGAAATCAAGATCAAGATAACTCATCTAAATATAATTGGACAAATTCAAGAGTAAAAATAGGAAAATATATTACGGATTAATTCTAAATGAATAAACAATTGAGGAAAGGAAAGGAAAGAAAAGGAAAGGAAAATATTTTGTACATATCAAAAAAATTGTTTAAAAGTTGTTACAGCAGCTTTAAAAAATTGGAAAAAATTCAAGGGAAACAGAACTCGAAAATATGATCATTTACAATTTGCCAATGAGCAAGCAGTTAATCTACTCATCTGCTTTTATCGCCATTGTGCTCTTCATTTGTAACCATAAATAAGGGGTCCTAATAGAGTTTTATCAGCCGAGCCAGCTGAACCCTATTTTTATAGAGATGATATTCTTCTATATCTCCTCTTTATCTCTCCTACAGTAAAATTTGCAATGTAATCAAAAAATTATTTAATAGTGTGTACAAATTATATTAGTAAAACATTATTATATAAACAAACGCACGTGAGTTAAATAGCTGGAAAATAACGGGAGTAGATCATTTATTATTAAGAATTAAGAATTAAGAGTGAACAGTCGAAGCTATTCTTGTCATCCGTTAACTGGGTACTCTCTCTATTATTGTACTTAGAGAACCAATAAAGTAATTATAAGTATCCAGTGGGTTCAAGTTAATCAACCCCATGCAGGGAATAAACTACCCCTAGAGTTTCACTAAATGGAACTCATGATAGAAGCAATCTAATAAACATTATATAATTATCCAACATTATTTATGCATACTACTTTGGATGGGAATAAACCACAATTTAAGTTTAAAATAAGTGTATTTTTGACGTTTTGATTTCCACTTCGGAAATCGTTCTCAAAATATAAAACTTGAAAATTAAACAAATTTTTGTTTTTTTTTTTTGTTAATTACTCTCCAAAATGGTATTCAGAAGAGACCAATTGGTCTTTTAAAGTCTTTTTAATAATTATCTCGTATGGCTCTGACAATTTATCCAATTTTTTTTAATTATACTTAACTCACTTTCTCCTAAATTTATAACTGTGGAGAACAGAGATGTCGAAACGCGTCCAATGTTTTAAATAATAAGGGATGATAATAAATAATAAAAAATGATACTTTCTCTCAGTCGAACCCACTCATCATCAGTTGGCTAATATTACTTCGTTAGGAGTTTCTTTTCCCCTTGAAAATATACTCACCGGCACTAAAAACGGAGCACTTGCATGTTTAAAATAAAAACTTAAAATTTTTAATTCTCTTTAAACTTTTAGTATTATAATAACCCAAAACATAAGTGAAAGAAACTGTTTTAAGTTATTTTTCATAAAACTTAAGAACTTATCCGAAAAAAATGCATAAAAAACCAGAAATAAAGAATATGGGAGAAGAGAGCACTTTTGAACGTTTTTTCTTTTTAAGTGTATTATGACTTACTTTGCCTAAAAATATTTAATTTAAGGTTTCGCAAACAACATTAGCACATCTAATAATGTAATATTGTCTATCAAACTTACGAATACGGGTCGTATGATTGTTTTATAGACCTGTATCTTCGTTCGTCTTGTTAGTTGTTTTTATTTTATAAGGTTTTGGAGGCCAAAAAGACATCTGTTGCCGGCGTGAATCCTGTTGTTTATTTCTTGTGATCCGTTATTGTCTTCAGTTATTTTTGTTTCAAGATACTTGAATTCTCTAACGCTTATGTCCCTGTTTTGGTTAAAGATATTGTTTACCTCGATTTTGCTATAGCCTTTTAATCGAGTTCCAAAGCGAAGACTATTACATAAATTGGAACACCTTGGTATCGGATATCAATTAATAAAATGGATCGACGCATATTTAACATATAGAAAGTTTTTGTGTTAGAGTTGGAGACTCTTTTTCAGTTGAGAGAACGGTTTTAGGTGGGGTACCGCAAGGATCAGTTTTGGGCCCACTTTTATTCATAACATACTCAAGTGATCTACAATTTTACATTAAAAACAACGAAGCTTTTTATGCAGATGACACGAAGCTATTTTCAGATCCCTCCGTAAATTTCCAGTTACTACAAGATGACCTTGATTGCATATCGGAATGGTGCTGTACTTGGATGCTGCCTCTTAATATGGACAAATGTGTAGTTCTTCACATGGGTAAAAATAATCCGTGTCTTCCTTACTCTATTAATGGGCGCGTGTTAAAAACAGTGAAATCACATAATGATCTAGGTGTTAGAATTAATAACAATCTAAGTTGGTCGGACCATATTTTGCATATTTCTAAAAAAGCTAACAGTAAATTATATCTACTAAATAAAACGTTTGCAAAAGTGTCATTTATGAGCTCAGTTATCTGTATAAACTGTACATTCGTGCAGTTCTGGAAAATTGCGGAACTGTTTGGTGTCCGGTATTAGTGCGCGATCGTAATATTCTCGAAAACGTACAGCAGCAGTGCACTAGGATGTCTTTTGGTCACTCAAGACCAATGTATACAAAAACACTGAATATGGCCATGGCCAACCTCACTACATTTGAGCAATGTCGACTTCGAGGCGATTTATTTATTACGTTTCGGATAGTAAAATACAACTTTGGAAATATGGGGGATATGTTTATACTAGACAATGACAATCGTCTTTGTGACGACAAACTTAAGTTTAAAAAGGAAACTTTTTTAACAACAACTAGACAATTTTTTCTCTATAATCGAGTGTTCTCGATATGGAATAGCCTTCCAGCTGAGATCATAGGTGCTCCATCTGTCAATATTTTCAAAAATAAACTGGATGACCATTGGCTCCATAGTTGAACATTTAATTTGTACTAAATACTTACTTAAGACTTGAGCCAGGTGACACTGTCTCACCTAAATTATTTATAACAGTCCTCGAATACGCCTTTGCAATGCTAAAGTGGGAAAATAGATGGAGAAATGCTCAATCATCTGCGTTTTGCCGACGACATAGTATTTTTAATATTGTTCTGAAGCTATTTTCTTGTGGCATTGTACAATAATTACTATTTAACTGGGAATAAGCCACAATTAAAAATAAAAATACGTTTATTGACATTTCAATTTCCACTTCGGAAATCGTTCTTAAAATACAAACAGTAAATTAAACACATTTTGTTTTTTGTTACATAGTGAATTCTTCTAATAATTTAATTTTATCTGACTCATTTATATTGACAATTCAGACATACATTATGCATTTTAAAGTAGACGACTTTAAAATGATATTGCCAATATTGTTGAGTTGCGCTCCTGGGACGACTTTACTTATAAAATAGTTCATTCGTTTACATGAAATCAACTTTAACTTGAGAATATCCGTCAGAAAAAAATCATAGCATGTAATTCGTGTTTAAAAAGACAAACACATGACATGACAGTAAAATTCTCCTGTTAGTGATTCCATAGAAAATTATGAGGGAAAAACCTCACTTTTTCTTAGGACTACATTTGAATTATTCCATTGAACCCTATGTTCATTATCCCATGCGTGTTTACATATTTGAGATCTATAAAATTCTCTATTTTTAATATAAGATTGATGTTCACTTATTCTAACATTTAATGTAGTCCTAAAAGAAACGGATGGTAAAAAAAGAAAAATCAAAGAAGAGGCTCTAATTATGCTAAATGGGGCCAATTGTGTTGCAAATTCCTCGGCAGAATGTAGTAGGATCTGGTTACCATATTGAAAGAGGAAGTTATTAATAAGAAAATACCAGTATTAGTAAGTCAGTAACATATAGAGGATACATCATTTATGTTTTTTAAATAACGTAACATATAAAATCAGAATTTTGATGTTTGTTGAAGGTATACTAAATTCACGAACAAATACTTGTCGTAATAAATGTCGGGATAGTATTGTGAGGTTTTTTTCCTGGTTTTTTCCTCATAATTTACTATGGAATCACTAACAGGAGAATTTTGCTGTTATCATGTCATATGTTTGTCTTTTTAAAGACGAATTACATGCTATGATTTTTTTCTGACGGATATTCTCAAGTTAAAGTTGATTTCATGTAATCGAATGAACTATCTTATAAGTAAAGTCGTCCCAGGAGCGCAACTCAACAATATTGGCAATATCATTTTAAAGTCGTCTACTGTAAAATGCATAATGTATGTCTGAATTGTCAATATAAATGAGTCAGATAAAATTAAATTATTAGAAGAATTTTTCACTATGTAACAAAAAACAAAATTTGTTTAATTTACTGTTTGTATTTTGAGAACGATTTCCGAAGTGGAAATTGAAACGTCAATAAACGTATTTTTATCTTTAATTGTGGCTTATTCCCAGTTAAATAGTAATTGACATAGTATCGATTACCGAAGATCTGGGTGAAGCACAACAAATGGTACAAGAATTAGAAAACGTATCTTCAACAATAGGTCTAAAAATGAACATCAGTAAGACAAAATCAAGTATTAGAATTGACAAAAAAGTACATATATCTTAGTCATGAAATCAGAATAGGCAAGGACAACCAGACCTGCGAATTTCAACGACGAATAACACTTGCTTGGGCGGCGTCTGGTACATCCCAATAGCTATGAAGCAGAAGACATTTGACTAATGCGTTTTCCTATTATGACATACGGAGCAAAAACTCTCACGCTCACAAAAACAACAGTACTAAAAATGCAAGTGGCACAAATTCGCATGGAAAGATCAATTCTCGGCGTGATAAAAAAAGACAAAATAAGGAATCAAGACTTAAGGAAAAGAACAGGTATCA